ATAATAATGTTACCCAAAGATAATCAGTTGTGTCATCTCCATCCCTCCTTCTTTTACCAGGTGGATGATATTATTGTAGGTCGTCTGGGGTCGTGTACAGAAGAAGGGAAGAAAGTGCAGAGGAACGGCGGGAAGAATTTCCTCGCAATTTTCCGTAGGATTGAAGATTCGTGCTAAGACCAAATGTAAAAGAAAACATTTTTTTTTTGTTTGTTTTTTGTATTCATGAACAATATTATAAATAGACTTTAAAAAAATAACTTTTTCATGCAATGTGTCCTTCGGTCCTCTGGGGAAATATGTGGGACAAATGTCATGGTTTTTTTTAAAGAAAGAGTTCAGATTTGTTATTTTTAACCACACTGATGAGCTCAGAACAAATCTGCAGATATAACAAACGTCTTCAAACAACTACAATGTGAAACGTTTCATAGCGAGTCCTACGAGAATTATTTTATAAAGTCAAGTTGTCTTCAGTTTTGCATTGCAACATATTTTTTATAGAATTCTGCAGCACAAACACTCGCAGCAGCAGTTAGCTGTAGCCTTGCAGCAGGAACATCTTAATGTATCGTTTAGTTTTCACCTAAATCAGTATAAAATATTTCAACCGGAGTTGTTTTTTTACAGTACTGCAGCTTTGGTCTTGGCTACGCTCGGACTAGCTGTTAGCTCATCAATTTGTTTTGACCTAGCCATTAAACATGTAGGATATAATAATTGCTCATAAAACACCACTTCAAAAGACCTGAACCATCCTTTTAATTTCAACTGATGAGTTTAAGTTTGACTCAACTAAACAGCTATTGAGACAAGATGTAAATGTTTTGTTTAAATCATTTAATTTACTAAACTTTGAAGGCTAGTTTTGTTGCAGGTTTCGTTTTCTATCTGCAAAAAAACAGATTCTAACCTTTTTACATTTACCTTGTTTGTGTTGAATCACTGTCTGTTTGATTGGCAGCTCAATCTGTCAAATTTAATATGATGAGTAATTATCTTTATCAGGCTATCTGTGAAGTGTAAATCACAGTCTGGTTACAGGAGCAGTAGCTCTCAGTGTGTTTATTTTGGGATCCTGGCTGTATATTATAGGCTGGTATTTTTGGTCTGTCAGGAGTTTAGAAACGGGATGGTGCAAGTCTGAAAGCCCTGCTGCTGCTTCAGGCTGCAGTGGTTGTGAACAGGACAGCACATGCCTTAACGATGGAAACCCAGACACTGGAAAAATTAAGCACAAGATTTGAAGCACTCAAACTGTAACAATTCCACAAATAAAAAAATAAATAAAACAGCAATAATCCTTTGTTCTTTTGAGATTAGGACATTTTGTTGTATTTAAAATATAAACCTAAAATGTATCATGAGCTACTTTTTTTCTCTTTATATGTTTCTTGAAGTTGGACAGAAGATTTGTCGAGACTAGGCTAATAAACAAAAAACAAAGATCTAAAAAAATTATTCATAATGAAATATCATTTAACTTTTCCATTTAGACATTTAATTTAGCGTTTCTTCTTTAGGTTGTATAATTGGAGTGTTTGCGCTGGCTATTTTGATTTATGATTATGTTGGTTGTTTTTAATATGTTTTTATTTAATTTTATTTGACAGTATTCATTTTTCATGTACATAGTTTTTTTAGGACTAGGCTCTGCTCAGGCAGAGATTAATGGGGATCTTAAAAAAATTGACAAAATAAACCAACACGAGCTGGTTTTATGTAAATTTTGAAAACCAAATTATATTTAAACGCCTTGCAGCTTTAAAATCAACATAATTGACTGCGTTTTGGTGTTTCTTCTTTGTATTGCAGCATTTCCTTAAAGAATTAGTCTGGTCATTTTTAAAGTTAGCCTGTGTTTTGTTAGATTAATTAATACATTAATGAAGGAAAAGCAGATTTGTTATGGCTAGGCTAATGGCTAATCAAACTGGTTTTATTTTGGTTTATGAGGCATTTAAAACAGCTCTTTCTTTAAAAAACATGATTGTGGAAGAAGACTGGTAGTTAATAATAAACCTTAACAATTTTCACTTCAGGTTGTTGCTGTTTTCTCAACTAAAGAGAGATCTGTGTTTATATAAGTACATGTGCTAAGCATAGACTGAATTTTACACACTCAGTGACTGATGTCACGGCCACAGCAAAGAAAACAATAATTTTTTTAATATTCCATATGAGCCTTAATGTGAATATTATCGAGACATGCCGCCAAACAAGACCAAACTCTTCTCTGTGTTTCCACGGAAACGTTACCTGTCAGGTGGCAGCAGCCTCCTTCCTTCAGCAAAAACAGTGTTCTCTGACACGCTCTTTAAAACCTGCTCAGAAATAACTTAGAGGACACAACAATAAGCCCCAAGGCACTGACCTGGCCTCTAAATTCCCCAGATTTCAATCCAAACAGGCCTCCACAAGATGGGCCAGAACAAGCCCGGACCGCATGCATCTCACCTGTCACCCCGCAGAACCCAGGAGGTTCACTGCCAATGTCTTCATGCCAGACGCTACGGGTCACCCTTCAGATGTCCCAGCTCTGCTTTCTGCTGGGTCAGGGTTCTACGGAAAGGGTTCCCTAAGCTTCATGCTTCCTGAAGTCAAACTATTTTTCTGATTATACAAATGAAAATACTTTGCTCCTGCTGGGACAAAAGTTCAAGCTCATTTTTGACACATACCAAGCTTTTATGTCTTCTGTAGTAGGGCTGCACAATATAAAACAAACCAAAAATGTGCATCAGCATTGTGATGACTATCAATATCATTCAGACCAGGTGGGCATCAACGGTAATGAGAGTTCATTGGAGTGACCATATTTGTATGCAGAACAAGAAATTTTGTGAAAATTTTACTACCAAAAGGAAATAGTTTTGTCTTTGATATTTTTATTTTTAGAAAGATGTCCAGTTAAAATAGAAATTCCTCCTGGTAAAATCTACACTAAATTATGTGTAACCTAGCCATTTGAAAAGCAATTTACTAAATTCTTGTGATTAATAAAACAACATAAAATCAATATTTTATGAAGGAAGGTTGAACACTGAAAACCAGACATTAACCTGAACTTTATCTGAGATCATAGCTGAAATTCAATTACTCTTATTTTGTTTTGTATTTATACACTGAGCACCAGTAGTTAGTTTTGGCTGCATCATAACAAAATATCCTCTGCACCAYTGAACACCTCATGTAACAACAAATCAGAGAAACAGAACAAATTACCTTCATATACCTGAGTAACCAATGATTATTCTACACACTAAATCAACTACACTCTGACAAAAAGTTACAGAATGTTTTTTTTCAGCTCTCATTTGTGGCACCCCCTAGATGGGTGGCACCCTTAGCCTTTACCTATACTGCCTATGCCACGGGCCAGCCCTGGTGATACTGATGTAGCTATCATAGATTTTATTGAAACACATTGTACATCCCTGTTATATAAATTGTAAGTTGGTAGGCCTTTAATTTGAAAAATGCAAACAAAAAACTCAAATATTCCCCTTGAAATTACTCCTACAACGTGATTAAAAATGCACAGAACACATTTACACCTTTGTGGGATAATCAGCTCATCAGAACAATGATGTCAGTGAGCAGCTGGAACTGTAACAAAACAGGTCATTAAACCAAATTTTAATAAAACGCCTTGCAGGAGAATCAATGCAAAATCTCTCAGCAAGGAGAATCCATTATGTCTGGATGTTAAAAATGTTCTGGAGGTCAAAGGGTAATCCCTCTGAATGAGCTGACGGAGGGCAGCTGCCTGCTGTTGTTATTACATAACCATAACACCCCAATTATGTCATTTTACTCCTCAAGTTCCAACACATTCTTCTCCATCTCTGTCTTTCCAGGAGACCATTCTTTTACCTGCTTACTACACCTGGACAAAGTCTGACTTTGTGAAATTGTAGGAAAGATATGCGTTGTTCAAAATGGTATGTCAGAATAAACAGGAATCAGCTGGATTTGTTCTTTAAAACTTTATTTTCTGTCTTCTGACTCCAGTCAGGTTCATTCAGCACTCAGCAGCAAAGGCCTCAGACCTTGGGCTCATATCAAGAAAACAAACAAAGCAGAGCAGCTCTGCTCTGAGCAGAGTCTCCACAACACTGACTACTTCCTTTCTACTATAAAAATGAATTGAGCTTATAATGTATCTTTCTTCCTGGTTACACCCCAGGAGGTTTTACCTTTTACATCAGACGTCAGAACGTAAACCATTTTGTTTAGACTAAAGAAAGAACATATGATAACACACACACCAACTCTTTGTCAGCTTTAAAATTACCAACTGAAATGATCAAAAAGTATAAAATACAAAACTGAATCTAATTTTCAATTAATCAGTTTCAAATTTTCCTTCAATCCCTCTCTTGACATACATAAAATATGTCAAAACTATAAGGAAATTTTATGAAAACTTTATAAAGAGAAGTTATAACATCTGTTGTCACATCAGGATATTTCTAAACATTTCCCAACCCCACACATAAAAATATTCATCATCTGGGTTAAGACTCATAATGCTCTCTTTACACTCTTGTTTATTCTTTTCTATCCATTTCTTTTTATTGTTTGCCCAGAGGTTCCAGAGCTTTGTGTGATAATCCAAATGCTCATTTTCTTGTTTAACAGGGTCCTCAGTTTCATCCCATCCTCTGTTCTCAGTTGATGGTTTGGTGTTCTCTGGTGGGGGAGAAGTAATGGTCAGTTGTTCTTCAGTTGTAGGTTGTGATAATGATGATGAATCCAGATGTTCTTCCGATTCAGCAGCTTGAAGTAACTCCTCTGTGGTTCTTCAGTTTTAGATGCCAGCTGATCATTCGCCTGTTGTTTGTTTCCAGCTGGAACTTGGTTCAGGAAATACTTCATGTTTGAAACTAACAGCTCTGCTCCAAGTCTATTCAGAATCAGTCCATCAGACTTGAACAGATGTTGTCTCTCCCAGAAGAGATCAAAGTTATCCTCATATCTCACAGGGTGGTCAGCACAGAACTTTTCCAAAAAAACATTAAAAGCCAACAGTCTGCTGAACCTCTCAGCGCCTCCTCGGGCTGTAGGAACGGGCCCACTGATCAATAAATCCATGTTGAGATTCTTAACTGCATTCAGCTGCAGAATGAAATCCTTCTTCAGGATTTCTGACTGTCGGTTCATCACTTCATCACTTCCTGTATGAATGATGAGGGTCTTCAGAGCTGGATACTCAGCTGTGATTTCCAGAAGCTTCTCTGTGAGGTCAGACACTTTATCAGCAAAACTCAGAACTTTGACTTTTTTCTTGTTCCAGAAGCCTCTGAGCTCATTCACCATTTTATCTGTGATGATCAACATTTCTGATTCTTGAAAGTCTCTCTTTGGACTTGCTTTGGCTTTGGGCTGGATCTGGTCTCAGGTCCCTCTCTGAGATCAGGACATGAACTTTGTTCAGACTCAGTTTCTTCCAGTGGTGTGAATCTGTTTTGAAGAAACACTGCTGTTTCTTCATTTCTCTGGCTGTTATCAGTTGTTTTGATTTCAGCCTGTCGCTGCTTTCTTCTCCTTGCCGGTGGAGAAAAAGCATTTCTCTGTAATTCTGGCCATTCGATGTCATCTGAGGGCTGAATCCTTCCTGAGAGATTTTTTGGTCTGGCACAAAGAGAGTTCCATACAGTTTTACCCACAGAAGCAGCTTCCATCTCCTCTTCATGTTGATCTCTCATCTCAGCCTTCTCACCCGTTTGAATGCATGTTGAGTCCTCCAAAGCATTCATCTCTTCCAAACGATGAATCTTGAGCTCCAACTCCATCAGCTTTTGGAGAAGCTGGCAGAAATCCTCTTTGGAAAAGTAAGGAGGCATCTTGAAGCTTCTCTGTACTCACTCTCAGCAGTTGATATTTCAAAAATCTCAGGTTCTTCAACAGCAAAAATTAAAATCCAGTGTTCTCTGCGTGTTCAAGATCATCCATCACAGTCAGTGGTCACCAAATTGTAAGAAAAATATGCATTGTTCAAAATGGTATGTCCAAATAAACAGGAATCAGCTGGATTTCTTCTTTAAAACTTTATTTTCAGTCTTCTGACTCCATCCAGGTTCATACAGCACTCAGCAGCACAGGCCTCAGTAAGATATTGGGCTCATGTCAAGAAAACCCAAACATAGCAGAGCAGCTCTGCTCTGAGCAAAGTCTCCACAACGACTACTTCTTTTCTACTAAAATGAATTGAGCTTATAATGTTCATCCCTTCCTGGTTAACACCCCAGGAGGTGTTACCTTTTACGTCAGACGTCAGAACGTAACTAATTTTGTTTAGACTAAAGAAAGAACATTTAATACACACACCAACTTTTTGTCTGTTTTAACCTTACAGACTGAAATAATCAGAATAAAATACAAAACTGAATCTAATATTCAATTAATCAGTTACAAAATTTCCTTCAAAATAGATTCATTTTTTTGGTTCCAGTATGAGTAATTAAAAGGATTCATGCGTTTAGACTTGTGTTATTTCATTAAATCTGTGTAATAAAAAAAGATGTGTGTTGAATAAAGAAGACGCAGCAAATCTTATCAGAAGCCAAATTTTTTATTTGCTCAAAAGTTCATCTTTTCTAAGCAAAAGAGGTCGCCTAAACATAAATGGTTAACTAAACAATAGTGACCAGCTCGTCTGGACAAACTGACCTAACACAGTGACGTCTGAGAGGGACTTTATGTTGGGTTTGGCCAAAACCAAATAACACACAAAAGGGAAAATAAGGTAAATGTCTATAACACCTTTTGACCATCTTCTTATACAGACCAGTAAAAGAAAATGTAATAAAACAATGAAACCGCCCAAAGTAATAATGATGTTCATAACTTTAGGCGAGTTTTATGTTCAGCTATGATGCAAACAGGAAAAATATTTATTTTGTCTAAACACTACTTGTTTGATTTTATTTAAAAAGATACTTTTATACAAGCTAATTTTATTTTTGCTTTTTTAACTTTTTTGATTTAAATTTTTCATTTCATAATTTGATGGTGACCTACAAATGTAGAT